TGGGTGCACACGCACGTACATGCCCATATCGTGTTAATTCCAAGACAAAGATTGTGGGATTTGCAAAACTGTTACAAGGCTCAGGGAGTGGATGTCCCATGGGAAATGAATGGGATTTATATTCCTAAATCCCCAAGTACTTTTGCAAACCGCTCCCCTGAATATTACATATTCTGAACAGTGTATGTTTCCAAACACCTACAGTTGGGAAATGTGTATCAGATATTGGCTGGGATATAACCCGAGTCTCTAAGAGGTAGCATTTCACACAACATAGATGTCAAACACTATGAGTGACTTTTGACCTGAGCCAAATTAATTGGCACTCTCATTTAATAACTTTTTTTTTCCCCCAGGATCACTTCTGTAGCATTTTTAAATATGTATTCAATACACACTTCTCCATGAATGGTATTTTTACATGCTGTTTATGCAGTTGTGTGCACAGGATATTTGAATCATTTAGTAACTTAGCAGTGCCAACTAGATTTGGAAAATAGGTTTTACAGGACTTTTTCCTGGGCTGCCCTTTTCGAGGAATAAAAAAAAAATTAGTCCAGTGCGTTATTTTTGGGAAGCCTGAACTCAGCTGGGAATGTTCAAGAGGTTGTGACAGCATATAAACGATACTAGCAGATAGGGCGGCATTTAGAGTAGGCCCAGTGCCTTTAAATGAGGTTTGCTGGTTTACACCAGCTGGGATCCTCATTTGTATCCATACTGTCACAGCATGGATATGCAATAAAAATTACTGCATGAGCAAAGCCTGATCTTTGGCTTGTGTAAATCAGCATAGCTTCTGGCCACTGCAATATTTTATGACCTTTCAGCCACTACATGCAGCAAAGACTATAGAAAGCACTCTACAAATCCAGCGCTAACCTTGTATAAGAAATTGTAAATGTCTACGTGTCGTAACAGTGTGATCCCCAGGATGTACATCTCACGAGTCCTCTCTGAAAGAGGGAGATTGCAGAACTCCTCCGCTACTGTTTGCAGCTGTGGGTCAGCAGGACGGACATGACAAGACTCCAGCTGAATGATCTGAGAAATGAGCTGTGTTTGCACAAAGGAAGAAAAGATTTGTTAGAGGGCAGACTGCTCGCTCCAGTATGCACGGATTAATCTTGCCTTGCTGTTGTTCTTTCCACAGTGTCATATTTCAGCCCTGAGAACCAGAAGACACCTACCCATTACTCCCGCACCAAGGGACAAATCCTAAAGACTGTAGTTTATTGCCCAGCTTGAACAGTAGTACAAGCTTTTGTGGCTTCAGTTTCCCATTGACTGATGCATGTAAAGTTCGGAAAAGAGCACGCTCTTTGTGGCTCAGTCCATACAAGACAGTTGGGAAGGGGGAAAGCATCTGGAGCTGCTTGCGCAGGAGGCTGAGGAAGGCAAGCTCATCTCTCATTACAGGAGGCTATTTTTGGACCCTGAGCATGCTCACAAATTGTGGCTAGAAGTGTGTTTTCCACTTGGACTGCAACAACTCCTCAGCACTCAGGACACCACCAAGGACCCCACTGGGTCCTCATTAGTCTGTGAACTGTGCCCTTGCTAGGAATCGGAGCAATCACTCACCAGGTACTGCATGGCTGCTCACCAGCTACTGGTGACAGCCACAGAAACTATATGGCTCTTGGTCTCCAATGGCTGAACTGATGTCTATGACTGCTCTTACTGCATTTCTGATGGCTATTTTGATCCACAACATGCTCCTAATCTCTATCCCTGTGGGATCACCTAGCGCTCTCTGTGCTGCCACACATGCAGTGATCTGCTTAGCTGCATTCACTAACAAACTCTGGTTTTAATGGTCTGAGAGGTAGAAAGCAACGAGATCTCCCACCAGGATGACAGCAAACTTACCTGACTGCTGTTTTCCGGTAGAGATGCTTCCAGAAGAGCATCAATACTGGCTGTGGACATTCCTGTTGCATTTTTGAGATCCTGTTTGAGCTGGTCCACATTTTTAAACACATCTCTTAACTTTTCTGTAAAGAATGATCAAAGAACAATTGACGTAACAGCTTTCTCCAGACATACAGCAATCTCAAGCACACAGAGAGGACTTCAGGTGAAGTGTAGAAGCAGTGTACCTCACTGCTGATAAAAAAAAATAAATTTGCAAAATAAAGTCATATTTCCTAGGTTTTAGTCTGATTTGTGGGCTCAAGTTGAGAGGTCTATTGATAGCAAAAGTTGCTCAAATATAAAGACTTGGGACTTTCAGCACAGAGGACTTTTTGGGCAGTACAGAAAACAAGAGTGTAGTCTAGAATGGGCTCTAGAATTACCCTAGATAAAGGTCCCAAGGACATGGTGCATGGTTATTTCATTAATCCCACTTCCTTCTGGCAGGTAAACAAGTTTCGAGATTCTCAGCAGAAATTATTATACCAGTGATGGTCTTTACAACATCGTAAAGTAAATACAAAAAACTACCTTGCTTGCTGGAATCTGTTAAATTCTCAGTGATGTTCAACATGGAATTCAAAGTAGTCATATATTGAGGGATCTCTTGAAAGAAAGCAATTTCTGGTACATTTTCTTGAAACCTAAATTGGAAAGACAAAACAACCAACAAAATTGGAAATATGAGAAGGTGGCAAGAAGCCATTTCATCATTTCATAAATAGAATACTAAAGCAGTCTAACTCAGAAGCAGAGCCTCACCACTTCATTTGTGCCTGGATATTTGTGGCATCCCCAATCAGTATATTTTGCAGCTCTTGTGAGATTCTTCTGTGATTCAGTACATTGGTCACAACTTGATTGCTCAGTTCAATAGCACGGAGGAGCTGCTCACGAGTTTGACTTTGTTCACACAGTTCTCCAAAGCTAACATTAGGGAGATGGCAAATATGCTGTATCGACTTAAAGCTCTCATAGTCACAAAGAAGTGTTGTCAGATCCCGGAGGCGAGAAATCTTCAAAGGAAATTTTGAAAAGGAAGACAAATGCACAAACACCAGTTAGATGACAGAATTATAAAAGGCAAGTATTAAAGAGTCTAGCTGTCCCTTTCCATTTTTCTTTAGGACTTAATATATATTTTTAGTTCACTCAAAAGGTCTCCAATAGAACAGTTCACAACAATCATTCCTACATGAGTTTATAGCAGACCTGGCTATACAACATTGCACAGGTTCTAATAAACCTTGCAAGCCTTAACATATTTCCCCTGCCCAACACACATGCATAGCAATGCTCAACTTGGACTTACCTGTTGACCAATTAACCTTCCCAGAGACCATATAAATCTACTTTGTGCAACAGGTTTAGCCTTTTGGATTCCACCTGGTCATCTCTACTACAGCATATGAAATGGAGTTGGCTAGAAGTCAGGACTTCCGCATCTGGCAACCTGTGTAAAATTATAGTCCTTTGCCTACTCTGCTATTATGGGTTTCCCCTCTTGTCTGACATAATTGTTTACATTCTCAGTCTTTTATGGCAAGAACTGTTTTCTGTTTTGCGCCTACGAGTACCTGTCACACTGAGGCTCGTCATATTATTGTTACAGGTATATTAAGCAGCAACAGCATTGCATACCGTTATCTTTTACTAAAAAGACTTTTTAATTCTTTCTCATGCAGAGAAATAAAGTGCATACATGTTATTAGTGCAGTCATGTATGTACGGTGTACGAAGCATTTTATCCAAATGAGGCATTGCCAAATCCAAAGCTGGTGAGGGAAATCCATGAATCAATATTGCTTAGGTGGTTAGTCTCAGAAACAATTAGGGTGTTGTGAGCATGTGGGGACTTGGTTCCCCAGCCACGCTGGTCTTGGTATAGCTCCTTAGGCATAGTGGTAACTAAGTTAGTGGTGCTTATCACTGCCAATTGGGTATGCACAATTCCAGGGCAGAGGATTTGCAGGAGGGCAGAGGTAACTAACTGCTATTTGTGCCTTCGAAAACTCCTCCCTATGTACTTCTCAAATGAAGCTGAGGCATTCTGGACCAATCTCAGCTCTGCAAGGTGCTTTGCTAAGTCTCAGTGTACCAAACTTAAAAACTCCTGGTGCACTGATTTACGAGGAATATGCTGCCACTGGCAACCTATGCAGTGCTCATTTCTTTGAGATGGCTGGTGGAAAACAGGAGCCATTCTATGCAACAGACTGGGAGGACAGGAACACCTCTACCTTAACAGAAAAAATGGGTGTATGCTCGGTAGGGACTCGTATAAGAACAAGTTCCTCAGCCCAGTTTAATGGTGACATTATAGGCAGCAGGCAGAAAACAGAGTTCTAGTCCTAGTTTTTATCAGCCGTTCTTTTAAGAAACTTTTTTCCCATATGCTGTTTTTCAAAACCTCCATTGCACATTCATGTATCACTGTGGGATGTCCTTCAAGTCAGCATTTTAAGCAGACTCACTTTTAGCTTCAGGAGCTCTGGTATGGATGAATGTTTCTCAGAGGTATTATTTTGCATAAAAGAGTTCTTCTTCAGATGAGTTGGCTTCAAAAGCAGTGTGATGTTTTCTGTACAAGGAAGAAAACAAAAGTTACTCGAGACAAAAACGCCAGAGTTGCAGAAACTTGGCAGACGGGCATATCGGCACTTTTATTCTGAGACCTACTGAGCATTTCTATTTTCCACCAAATTCACATGGCTCAGGACTTCCAAAATCACAGACCAAGACCTAGGTTGTAATCTGGGCTATAACAGATCCACTCCGAGTAGGTGCTCTCGTCCTAAATAAATCCACCCCATATTAGTAACTTCTGACAGCGCCCTTCAGAACGCACAAGGTATCTATTCCGTGAGCAGATAAACCTCTCAGGTTTTACAATAAGCTCATACAATGAGTATCTATGTGAAATACCATGTTAACTCTCGAAAATAACTGCTGTCATCTTACGGGTACATAAAGCTGTGAAGGGAATATAGGTTTCCATTTGTAAGATTTCTTTATGAGTGTCAGCAACCTGTCATCACACAGCAAAGAGCAGACATGCCTTTTGGATAGAGTTGGATGGAAAACTTGTATCAGCCATGTGACATAACTCAAATAAAAAAGGCGACTGGCTTCCCAAGGTCTCACAGCTCCAGTTAATTGCCAGAGGATGAAAACATGTAGCACCATTCCTTCCTGTCATTAGCCAAAATACTTTGAAAAGACAGGTACAACATATTCCAGCTGAGGTCCCACAACATTAATGAAATCACGATTACCTGTCAATTTGCTGTCTTCAACTTCAGTGGCATTTATTAAACACATCAGGTAATGGTTATAGCTGTTATTCACTGTCACCTGTAAGATGGTGTTTTCAAATTCTAAAAACAGAAATCTGAAAAATAAATAGGATTTTAAATCAACTTCTCTTTCAGAAACAAGGTATATTAGCAAGCAACCTGTCAGCTGTGTAGATGCTGTTCCTTGGCAGTGTAAATAAGAATTCCAGATGAAGCCATGTGTCTCACATGACATCTCCTAAGTGGGTACCCTCCCAATTTTATTTCATAAATTCTTTTTGCGGTTGTCTCCCAAAGCTCTCGTTCACTCTCAAACCATACATATACGAAAACACACTGGAAAGGTTCACCATGGATGCAAGATATAGATGGAAAGGCATGCCTAGGGGAGACTGAGAATCAAAAATTAGAGTCGTACCACAAAGAAGGGCTTTCTGAAGAGTTTACCGACTGGCGGCAAGCCTCCTACAGGATTCTACTTCCACTGTGAACTGATACATGCCAACACAGAAAATTTTTGAAAGTCTCACTTTTAGCTGTATGTTCTGTTCAAGGAAAAACATCCTCTTCTTCAAATAAACCCCTGTTAGACCTAGTGTCCTACATTATGGTCATTTCAGGCTTAAGCTGCTCCACTGGAAGAAAATTACATACTTCACATGCTGGAATGAGAATGGTGGTCACTACCGATAAATGCAATTACAATACTCAAAAAGCAAACTCACTGTGAGATCAAACTGGTTGGTGACAGAGTTTGGTCACTCTGAGTCCAAGGTAGGGTCTTGTTGTACAGGGTTTCTGCCAGGACAATGAAGTGATGAGCGACAATATCAAACACACTGTCAAAACTAGTTTTGTTAGAGACAAAAGCCGAACTGGAACTTTTATCAAATTCATTTAGCAGATAAGAGACGTTCAGCCTCTCGAGAATGTAGTGACTGGCTTCTATGATTTCTAGAGCTGACACCTTGTTGGCAGAGCCATTTGCCACTGCTTCCAACAACTTTGCAAAGTCAGCTGCTTCCATTAGATCCCTTTTGGTGTTTAGGAAACTGTCAACCGCATCCCAGATGCTTGAGTAATAACTCCATTTGGTGAGGTTGAAGGCGCCTTCGAGTCTCTGCAGCAGATCATTCATGTGGAGATCATCCTGTGCTACACTGAAGAGCATGGACAGGTTATTCCAGCCTGCTAAGCTGCCAGAGAAATTTAGGGAGTTTAGTGCTGTTTCATTCAGCATGAAAGGACTAAGCATGTTCAAAAGCTGAGATGGGAGCACGTCACCCACATCTTGGACTGGGATGGGACAGGAGGCATTACCACGCAGAAGCCCATCCGTGACAGCTGTCAGAGCTCTTGTCTTCTCCTGTACCCAAGAGTTTTCCAGCTCAGAGACCAGGTTTAATTTGGAAAGGAAACTCAGAGAAAAATGCAGAGACTGGATGATGCATGACAGCTCCTTGGAAAAGCGTTCACTGCTGCTCTTGTAGACAGCAGCAAACTCTGGAGACTGTTTCAGGTTTGTCGTGGCAAGCTGGAACATTTCTTTAAAGGTGTCATTGCGCATTGTTCCACTCTCCATGCCCATGGAATCAAAGAGGGGTTTGCAGGGGCTCCCGGCTAAGGACTCGCTTAGAGTGGCATCTTCAAACAGCATCTCAAGTGCTATGTGGAGCATGTCCTGAGCAGAGCAGTTCTGGGGTGTCCTATAACCGCTCT